AATAATTAGTGAGCAAAACAGACCAAGTCCCTTTATTTCCACATAGTATTAACCCTTTTGTGTGGGGAAGCAGTCAATAAACAAGTAAACATGACAGGTGGTGCTATGGAGAAGAAGAGCAGAATAAGGTGGCCAGGAAATGCCAGCAGAGAGGAGGGGCTTCTGTACAGAAATGGGAAAGTCTGCAAAGACTTTTCTGACAAGGTGATTACAAGCAGAGACTGGAAGAAGGGTGGGGGTAAACCACGTGGTATCTAGGCGGAGGATACCTAGCACAAAAATCCTCTATCAGGGATGGGCCTGGCCTGTTCAAGGGAGAGTAGGCCAGTGTGGCTGGAGCAGAAAGAGGGGTGAAGTCAAAAAGGTGACAGGAGCCAGCAGGTGTAGCTTCTGTTAGCCACTGTCTGGTATGAGTAGGGCTTATGTAGCTGGGCATGGTTGAGAGGGCTGTTGTTGAGAGGGCATCCCATGATACGAGGGTAAGCCAGCCTGCGGGGACAGTGCAGTGATTCAAGTAGGAGATGGCTGTGGCTTAGACTAAGATGGTAGCAATGAAAAGTGATTGGGTTCTAGATATATTTTGAAGGTAATTAATTGAGTTTATTAATGGTTTAGCTAGAAGTTGTGAGAGAAGAAATTAAATGAAAGATGCCTATAATGTTTTAGCTTGAGCAACTAGAAGGAATTGACTTGTCATCTGCAGAAATGGGGATGATCAGGTTGGGGGGAAAAGTGAAAATTAAGAGTTTCATTTTGCATGTGAGAAATCACAGAGGAGGAGCTGGGTGTACTAGCCTGGAGTCAGGAGAAAGATCACTTTGGGTTCCTTAGCTTTTCAAGGCCAAGGGAGTAAATGAGTCCACCTGCTGTGAAAGAAGAGCATCTAAGGGTTAAGCCATGTGGAATTTGTGTGTTTAGATGTCTGAAGGATGAAGAAGAAACAGCAAAGAGAAACAAGATGGTATAAAGCCGCAGTCAAGAGTGGTCTCCTGAGAGCCAACAAGAAAATGTGTTTCAAGGATAATGATCAGTGATCCAAAGTATGCCGAGAAACTGAGTAAGCTGGGAAATGATCACTGACCATTGGATTTCCCCACAGGGCTCAGTAACAACCCTAACAAAAAGCAGTTCTAGTGGACTGAGTGGTAGAGTCAAAATCTGCTTGCAGTGGGTTTAAGAATGATAAGGAGAGAGGAGGATATAAAGTGGACAACTCTTTTGAGAAACTGTGATAAGAAGCAGAGAAATACTGCAGAAGCTGTAGGGAACATGAGGTAGAAGCATAGAATATAGGGATGTTTATTTATTTATTTTTGCTCTGTTTTTGATGGGAGATATTATAGCATGTTAGTGTGTTGACATATAGAGTAAAACAATTATGGTGCAAGAGATAGAGGAAAGTCAGGAGAGATGTCCTTGGGGAGGTGAGAAACAATGGGCTCCGCTTCCCAGTACAGGGCATCCAGGAGCACAGCGTTCCATGCGTGTGACAGCAGAGATGGTAGGTGCAGATTGGACAGGCAGTGGATGAGAGCTAAAGCCCATGGAAATCCCCTTCTAATTGCTCTGTTTTATTCTGACATAGAAGCCAAATCATCATTGAGAGTACTCAGGAAGAAAAGGATGAAGATTTTAAGAGAAGAAGTGTAGAATGAGCACCTAGGAGAAAGAGAAGCAAATACAACAGAGATACGTGATAGGATCCAGCAGCACTGAGGAGCCACTTCTGGTTAGTGCCATGAATTCAAAGAGACCAGACAGCAGAGATGTATTTTTTCTGAGCTTCAATCAGCTGCAGAGGTGCAGGTGCAGTGTGGATTGAGTTAAATTTAATTGGGGATGGGTCGTACAGCAATGAGCAACTACTCCCTTTCACCACAAACCCAGGGCTCCTTCTATTTGGCCACCCAGTCCCTAAGCACCTCTTGCCATTCCACTCTCCCCTTCCTTTCACAGGAATAACAGAGGGTCAGGAGTGTAAGAAGCTTCATCTAGGGCTTCACTCTGCTTTGTTTCTGTTTGGTTTTATGGGCCAAGAGTTAGACGTACCTCATTTGCTCTCAAATGTTAACTCTTGGAAACTTAGCAGAGCAACCTCCTTGAAATTTGAGAGTAGCTCCAGTGTCAAGTAGAAACATCAGGGTTTGGCTGTGGCTTGTCCGGAGGTTGCATTCCTAGGGCCTGTTGATGCCTCTCAACCTAAGAACAACTGCTTGCTCATCAAATGTTTGTCAAGCACACACGATGACAGGCACCTTTCTAGGCACTGAGAACAAAGCTCTGTTCCACAACAAGACATTATAGAGCTTATAGCCTGGCAGAGGGTGCCCTAGGGATGGATGTACCTAGAACTCCATTGTCCCGGTTTGTCGTTCTCATGTGATACACAGGCTGTGGAAAAACTTCCAATGCCCCTCCACATACCTGGGGCTGAGCTTGAGCTCTCTACAGGCTGACAATAGTCCAGTTGTCTAACCCATATTGGTGCTGGGCAAGTTGGGTTGGTGCAGGCGGTGCCTTCATGGAAGGAAGAGTGTATAGGCCCTAAACTGAATCTGTGCACATTTTTGCAGAGTTGCTTAGGGAATGCCTCTGGGTTGTTTATCATTCCTAACAGAGAAGCAGACAAAGGTCTGAATGGTCTTTCCTTGGAGTTCAAGCTGAAGCCAAGGGAGAGAGACCAGAAAAGACCCTTGGGGACACTGGGGAGGGTAGGGTGGAGAGGAAGTCTCCAACTTAACTCATGTGTGCTCGCCCATGGCCCAGTCTCCTTGCTCCCCACCTGCCTTTCCCACTCTGCCTGCTTAATTGCCCCTAGTGATGGTAATTTAGGTGTTAATTAGTAGAAATCCTCATTTTAGCTGTGCAGCAGGATTTATTTAGAATACACAGACCCCAAGAGCAGGAAGTGAAGTTGAACCACACAAGGGACCTTCCTAGCCACTCCTGTCCCCTGTGGGTGGCCACATCTCATCTCTAGGACAAACAGGTCTCTCTCATCCTCACTTCTCTTTCTGAATCTGTTTTATACAGTCGTAGCTTCCTCTACTTCTCTATTTCCCACTATCCACATTCCTGCATGCAAGGTTCTCAGTTGTAGGCACAGAGAACCCAGGAGGACCTGATGATGTCTGAATCATAGCTATGTTCTCCAGGGACAGAAAATTGGATTGGCCAGCCTGGGCCAGGCATCTGCACCATCCAATCAGTTGTGCTGAGGGGAGCCCCCTCATTGTACTTCCCAGCTGCCAGGATCCCATTCTCATGAGCGGTACAGTTCTCAGCTTCATTTGTGAGCTTTGTGCTCTACAAAAGGGTGCAGTGAGGAGAGTGAGGGAGCTGAAATCCATCTCCCTCTGCCCTCATGCTTGGATCCTCATATGAGCTACACCCCTGGCAGAATAAGTTCTCATTTCTAACTCACAGCAAGACCTCACATGGGCTCTCAACTGCAGTCCTCATGGATCAATGGATCACTCCAAAAGAATCTACTTCTCTTAGGTCTCAGCTTTGTCAGAGCTTCTTTTAGAAGCCCTTGATGGTATTCTAGCTTCTCTGACACCTCTCTTACATGATCCACACTTTAGGAATATGCTCACTTAATTGTAAGTTAGCCTGCCAGACTATAGGCTACATGAAATCAGAGAGCAAGCTGTCTTGCTCACCATAGTCTCCATATCACCTAGTACAGACATGCCAGGCATCGCAGATATTGGCTGACTAATGAGGACCAGCAGCCATGTAGAGCACATTAGGCCATGGATTTTTTGTTTGTTTGTTTCTATGACATCATTGTGAAGAGTCAACGTCACTGAAAATTAACCCAGATGTTGTTAACTCCTACAAAGAAGCTTCTTTCTCTCCACCTGACAGCTGTGAGGGAGAAGCTCAAATTGAATCACTTGTACCTCCAGTTGGTGTCTAAGCTTTGCTAAGCATTTAAGTAGAGCAGTTGTGAACTGATTCCACCTCTGTGGACTACAGGGAACAGCAAGTGGAGAGAGGGAGCAAAATGGCTCCAGTCTAATCCTCATATCTCCTGATGATACTAAGCTTCAGTGTCATAGCTGGGGAGACTGAGACTCAGGGTAAGGAGTATGTCTCAAATCTCAGAGTGAGCAGAGAGACCAGGACTCAAGGACTGCTCTGCTAATCTCCACACCCGCACTTGTCTCAGGACACCACAATGCCTCTGTGGCCTCCTCTGACCCTTCTTTCTTCCTTCATTCCATCTGCAACATAGCAACCACATTGCCATCACCCTATACATAATGGGGAAGTTCTGAGCACAGCAGTGAGCTGGTCACATCTGGTCTTCCAGGCAAAAAGGTCCAGAGGACAGGATAATCTGTACTTAGATATTTGGGGTATTTGTATGGCCTCTCTTTCCAGCATAATTGACTGCAGACAAGAGAGAATGTGGTATAACCGTGTGAAATGGCTGACCTCTGTAAGGACAAAGCTCTGCCTGTCAGGCTCATCCCTGTCTGCAATGTCCAGAACAGTGCTGGCTGGCAGTAGTTGAGAGAATCAGTGTCTGGCTTCCAGAAGGGCCCCTGCACAGGACACAAAAGGTACAGGGTGCTGGGTCCTCAGCAGTGCCTTCAGAAACAGGGCCTCTGTTTTCTTCCCCTAAACCTGACAAGTACAGAGTAGAGAGAGATCTCCTACACCACAGCTCTCAGACAAATACTTGGGCCCTTGCACAAAACCATCCATCCTTTCTGGAGCAGAGGACCAGCTTGTGTTTACGTGGTTCCAGCAAAACCAAGTACAAGTGGAAAAAAGGGTATGCCTTTCCTAGCAAAGAATCAGTGGACTTAGAGAGGCAGGTAGGCCCCCAGAATTCTTGTTCATGTTTAGCATTACAATGGCCTGTTTTCAACTAACCACAGTAGCTAAGATTACACACCCCTCTGTCTAGGGTTTGAGGGAGAAAAACCAAGTCTGGAAAATTCAATTGGTAATACTAATTTCAACCTGTTGGCTGCTACATTTGAATACATGTCTTTATTAGGACAATTATAAGTGCATATACATCTTTTCATTGATATGACTTCAAAGTAGAAATTGTTTCTCAAAATGAGATGTTACTATTTTTTTAAAAAAAGCAGACTGCATACAGGAAGCTGCCTTCTCCTGGACCATTTTCACATTATCTGGGAGATGCAATTCAAACAATACAAAATACAGTATTCATCACATTTAACACTGAATCCATCACTGCTCAGAGACTGAGAGTCCAGCGAGTTTTCAGAATAACAAGTTTTCTGTGTTATTTTCTTTTTTTAACTTGGCTATGTCAGTGGTCTGTTGAGCGGATGTGGATATTTCTAGGGAGCATTTCCCAAGAATAGGGTTCCCTCAGCATGGTTCAGGGGAGATGTATAGAGGGATCAGGACTCCACAGCTGCAAAAGGGTGTGACACCCGGGAAAGCTGATGAAGACCCAGTGAGGGAGCCTATGGTGATTATATCAGACCGTAGTCAGAAAAGGAAGATGAAATCTGATCCAATAGAAAGGCTTAGAAACTCTCTGGACTTCACACAGGGAGCACTGTAGCCTTTTGCTATGCAGGCCTTCTGCTCAGACAAGCAGAGAGCCTCTCCTGAGCCTCCTCGCTGGGGTCTCAGCACCTGGCAGAAGTGGGACAAAGAACAGTGCAAACAACACACTCTGACCCTTCTTTCTTCCTTCATTCCATCTGCAACATAGCAACCACATTGCCATCACCCTATACATAATGGGGAAGTTCTGAGCACAGCAGTGAGCTGGTCACATCTGGTCTTCCAGGCAAAAAGGTCCAGAGGACAGGATAATCTGTACTTAGATATTTGGGGTATTTGTATGGCCTCTCTTTCCAGCATAATTGACTGCAGACAAGAGAGAATGTGGTATAACCGTGTGAAATGGCTGACCTCTGTAAGGACAAAGCTCTGCCTGTCAGGCTCATCCCTGTCTGCAATGTCCAGAACAGTGCTGGCTGGCAGTAGTTGAGAGAATCAGTGTCTGGCTTCCAGAAGGGCCCCTGCACAGGACACAAAAGGTACAGGGTGCTGGGTCCTCAGCAGTGCCTTCAGAAACAGGGCCTCTGTTTTCTTCCCCTAAACCTGACAAGTACAGAGTAGAGAGAGATCTCCTACACCACAGCTCTCAGACAAATACTTGGGCCCTTGCACAAAACCATCCATCCTTTCTGGAGCAGAGGACCAGCTTGTGTTTACGTGGTTCCAGCAAAACCAAGTACAAGTGGAAAAAAGGGTATGCCTTTCCTAGCAAAGAATCAGTGGACTTAGAGAGGCAGGTAGGCCCCCAGAATTCTTGTTCATGTTTAGCATTACAATGGCCTGTTTTCAACTAACCACAGTAGCTAAGATTACACACCCCTCTGTCTAGGGTTTGAGGGAGAAAAACCAAGTCTGGAAAATTCAATTGGTAATACTAATTTCAACCTGTTGGCTGCTACATTTGAATACATGTCTTTTATTAGGACATTATAAGTGCATATACATCTTTTCATTGATATGACTTCAAAGTAGAAATTGTTTCTCAAAATGAGATGTTACTATTTTTTAAAAAAAGCAGACTGCATACAGGAAGCTGCCTTCTCCTGGACCATTTTCACATTATCTGGGAGATGCAATTCAAACAATACAAAATACAGTATTCATCACATTTAACACTGAATCCATCACTGCTCAGAGACTGAGAGTCCAGCGAGTTTTCAGAATAACAAGTTTTCTGTGTTATTTTCTTTTTTTAACTTGGCTATGTCAGTGGTCTGTTGAGCGGATGTGGATATTTCTAGGGAGCATTTCCCAAGAATAGGGTTCCCTCAGCATGGTTCAGGGGAGATGTATAGAGGGATCAGGACTCCACAGCTGCAAAAGGGTGTGACACCCGGGAAAGCTGATGAAGACCCAGTGAGGGAGCCCATGGTGATTATATCAGACCGTAGTCAGAAAAGGAAGATGAAATCTGATCCAATAGAAAGGCTTAGAAACTCTCTGGACTTCACACAGGGAGCACTGTAGCCTTTTGCTATGCAGGCCTTCTGCTCAGACAAGCAGAGAGCCTCTCCTGAGCCTCCTCGCTGGGGTCTCAGCACCTGGCAGAAGTGGGACAAAGAACAGTGCAAACAACACATGGCAGAGATTCGGATTCCAACAAACAGCATGTTTGTGAGCCCCAGTCCCTACAGTCGCCCCTCTCCCGGAGATGCAGAGGCTGGCAATGGAGGACCACCTTGGAGGTTACAACAAGCCCAAGAGAAGCTCAGGTAGAGGCAGCTCTGGACCTGGAGAAACAGCTGGGTGACCCTTAATCACCTAATGCACTTGACCTGTATTTTGAAAGCAAGAGGGAGAGCCTTTTCCTTTGCAAATGAACTATTTAAATGCATATTTGCTTTAGATAGGAAGTCTCCTTTTAGAAGCAGATTGAAAGTAGAGAAATTGTTACACAAATAATTTTTCTTGCAGTTTCTACTCTTACCTATTTTTTTCTCCTATAGGGGAGAAACAGAAATGATTCTTTAACTGTAATCAGGATTCAGGGGCATATTTATTTCCTTGGAGTAACAGATTTAATGGTTCTGGTTCATGGATTCTAGAAAAAGATGCTTCCAAATTTTTCATGAGATTTTAAAATATCTTAGATTACCTGGAAAATGACCCTACCACTGAAAATTCAATAATTTCATGTATAATTCAGGAGCCCTATAGAGACAGGTTAATTTTAAAAGAAGGTTCTGTATCCCTTATAACTAATAAAGGTCCCCGATACTCTATTTTTTTCAATATAACATAGCTGTTTAGAGGACATGAATTTTTGGTTGATGAATTGGCCTTCTACCATAAAGATCAAATTTTAAGAAATATTTATAGAAATGCCTAACACGTTACTAATAACCCAAAGATTATTAAATATAAAGACACCTACAATTCAAGATAAATTTACTATACTATACTTTCTGCATGTTATTTGCAGTGTCTTGTCAATTGATATATTTCCTTATTTTATCCTTTTTTTTCTATTTTCTTAATTATAAAAATTTTACTGGGATCTTTAATCAAAGGGGAAAAATATTAGTGAGACCAAATGATAAATTAGCAAACAAATAAGCAAAAATGCAAAAAACCCTCAAGTGCCTACCTTTTTAAAAAGCAAAAATTTTAAGCCGTTTAATGTAATTCTAAAAAATGCCCTCATTAAAGGGAAATGCCCCAAACATCAGGGTTCTTAACCAACTTTAATAATGCTCCATCATTTTCTAAGAGGAACGCCTTGCTGGATGTCCTGGAAGCACAGGTAACAGCAGTAGCAGAGAAGGTCCAGGGTCCACTGTGCAAGGCAAAAGATGAGGGATTGCCAAATGGTAAAAAAAAAATGAGGTTAGATTTTAATCAGGAAGAAATACTCAGTATTGAATATTTTATGGATCAGGTTTTCCAAACCAAAAAAAGTTGAGAATTTTTTCTTGTTATTCCTGTCATTCCCAGAAAAATGCTGGGCTTGACACAACAAAGTTAAAGCACTCTATAGTTCTGAGGTATCAACATCAATGGAAACATTGAGGGTCAGTGTCCTCAGAGGTCAGTACTACTGCAACCTGAATTCCCTTGAGCTCTGTTGATCCACCATGGCTCTGTGATCAGTGGGGAACACAAAGTCATCCACTCAAAAATATCACAGCCCTAATCAGGGGCCTGGTCAGAGACCCTGAGGGGCATCTCCTCGCTCTCGGCCTCTGCATGTGTGGAACCCACAATACAGCACAGAGGACATTAGCTTTGAACAAAAACAGAGAATTGGACAACAGATAATATTCCAAACGACACAGATGTGCACAGCATTTCCAGGACCTGGTAACACAATATGTTTTGATTTGTTTCTTGGTGCTCAGTTTAAATTAAAGCTTTCATCTTGAGAGTTCTTTTCCAGGGTCATGGAGACAGTCTTGGATACACATGATGATGGATGAGAGAAAGAATGATGAGAAGAACGTGATGAGATGTAGAGGAGAGCTCGGGATGAAGGGTGCATCTTGCCCTATCCTGGCCTCACACTCCTGCCTGCCTTAGCTCAGGGAAGCCCTGTGATGCTCACTTAGAGGAAGGGTGGGCCTCCTGCCTGGCCCTCTGGAACCTAACCCTCCATCACCCCTTGTGGCTGCCTTCACTAGGGTTTGCCCATGCTGACTAGTCCTGATATCTGCTAGTGGCTGTCGGTCCCAGAACATGATAATGTAGGGAAGGCTCCCTCAGCCTGGGGTCCCAGCCTGTGCAGTTCAGGAATATAAAATTCAGGAACCCGTAGTCAGACCAGGGGCTCCATGGAAAACATATTATAATGTAAAATTATAATGGTTTTGTCTAAGTTCCTATCTGCCACCAGTGACATTAGATAATCGAGCTAAATGAAAATAAACAGAATATATTTTGCTACATAATCAAACAGTGAAAGTAAGGCAAACTGTGCAAAACAAAGCCCTGGGAAATGCATTCAGCCCCGCCCAGGCTGCATAAGGGAACTGTTGGGGGCCCTTCTTAACACTGTTTCAGACTCAGCTTCCTACTGTAAGGCTTCCTCAGGCGTCTGACCCAACCTGCGCCTCTCACATCTTGAACCTCCTGTTAACAAGAAGAGAGGGAGACACCATTAAGGCAAGTTCTCGCAGTGGCCAGGCCTCACGCTGAGACACTGAGCTCGTTCCAACAGTGCCCCCACTCCTAATCTCCAAATTCCAAATCACCATGGTGCTGCATCTCTCTTCAGAGGCCCTGGGTAGGGAAGGGTAGTAGGAGAGATGTCATGGCTGAAGCAGAGGAATGGATGGAAGGTAGGAAGCAGAGTGGACAGACTGATACAGCAAGCATGAAGCATGGCAGATGAATGAGGTCATGGAGCTAGCCAGGCACAGTGGTCACACACGACAGGGTGTACTATTTTCACCTAGTGTAGAAGCTAGGCCTGGCCTCACATGGAGCCCAGCCCAGGCTGTCAGCTCATCCAGGGCCTCAGCACCACCCACTGCTTCCACCCACCTCCCACAGTCACCCCAGGACCTCTCAGTGGCTTGGCCAGGGGTGGCCCAGGGACTGAGTACAGGGGTGGCCCTGCTCACCGCTCACCTGGCACAGATGCGTGAATATTGCCCAGCTGCAACCCACCATGGCATGGAGGTCCAGCTCTTCAGCTCTTCCCCAGTGACCCGGGATACTTCAGCAAGACTGGGGTTATGCCCATTTGTCAGATACAGCGAGGTCCAAGGCCAATGGAGTGATGTAATGCCAGGACAATGCTTTCCTGAATTTCCTAACATGAGGCCAGTTCTCTTAGTATCTGTACCCCCAACTGCTCCAGGATTGGTGGGAGGCATACAGAAAGCAGTTTGTCACTTCAGGGCAGCAACAGCTTGACTTACTGTTGCTGGAGGGCAGTCAGCTCTCCTTGGCATGTAGGACGAACCTGTCACCCTCTCTAGGCACAAAGACGGATGCTTCTACAGTGTGAGGAATGAAGGATAGTGGGAGTGGGGTGAGGGGTGGGGGGATAGCTCAAGTCTGATCTTCTCGCGGGTGCTTTTTTAAGTCTTAGGATTAGCCCAGTCAAGCTACCATGGACCAGACCTGCTGTTGCTTCCTCAGAAAGTACCACAGGCTTAGGCAGCCAAGGTAACATCTAGATACCTTCAGAGGTGGGAGGGCAAGGTGAAGTGGGCCCCTACACACCCAGGAATAAGCCTGCTATCCCCATTGTTTGCAAGAGGGGCCCAGACTGGGAGAGTTAGACAGCTAAAAAGAATGGAAGTGGAGAACAAAAGGTCTTTGGCTGCAGGGGCCTACCAGGACACTTCGACAGCAGGGAAAGAAAGGCTGTAATGTTCGAAGCTGCACTCACAAAGGAACACATTAGAGCATGTGTCCACAGAGCTATGTGACGCAGGTGATTATGACATGCAGGGACTTTGAGATGTCTTCTCCTGAAATCCATCTGCTCTGTCCTCCATCCACTTCATCTTTCTGGATCCATGGACTGAAATTATGACGAGGGGTCCAGGATGCAGAGTGTGTGTGCGTTTATGTGTAATGCGGGAACGGGGAGAAGAGTAGATATTTAAGGCAACCTTTTTCAAAGCACTACTGACATCAGGGCCTCCCTGTGATCTCTTTCCTTTTGGTATAAATTAGAGACTTAGCAAGAAATCTCAGAACTAATTATGTAGGGAGGTGAGTAAGGAAAGTTTTAGAAACTAAACCATGTTCACTTTAGGCAGATATTTCCCATGAGTGAAGGCCTAGGAATCTGTGTCCTACAACCTAATTACACAGGGTCATGAAGACTCCAGCAAAAAAAGTGGGGAGGGGTTAGGCTAGGCATCCTGGAGCTGCAGGCCCTTCACGGATTTCCTCCATGTTGTCGGGGACCCGTATGAGGAATCTACAAAATGAATTAACCAGCAAGGGAGTTCCCTGAGAAGCACTTCCACATCTGCTCTCTGGGGATGCAGAGCTCATATCCACTCTCCCTGGCATGGTGTGTAGAAACCCACCCAAGCTTGGAGGTAAAGCTGTTCGCACAGTCCAAGGCCTAGGGAGGGGGTACTGAAGAAGTCCCACTCTAGGTGGTAGAGCAGTGGAGGGCCAAGCATGGACACTTGGGAAAAGGAGTCCTTTATCACCAGCAAATGTAATGGCCACAGCCAGTCCTGCCCAAGAAGGCCAGGATGGGCAGCACCAGCAGCAGCGAATGAGAGAGCATAGGACGCATGCCCCCTGCAGGCCAAGGCTCTGCTGGTGGTCTAGTAGGTTGCTCTGCACAGTAGCTAGGTGGCCACATGCTGGTATCAGATACAAGTTTCATAGCAGATCGTAAGTATGCAGAGCTATGTAAGCTCCAGAGTTATCAAGGGCCTTCTGAGAGGGAATGGAGGGCAGGGTGGGAGGCTTAGCAGTCCAGGGCAATGTTGGAGACCCCAGACACTCTAGATGGGGTCCTGAGCACACAGTCCCTGTGTCCTAGGCTCCAACTCCAGTCTCTGTACAACTACTTTCTTCATAACTTAGCAAACCAGGAAAGACCTTAATAAGCACATAAATGCAGGAGCCAGTGTGGCCACAGGTGTGGTAAAGCACTGTTCCCCTTTGGAAGTCTGAGCGGCCACCCAGGAGGCAGGGAGGTCTGCCCTGGAGGAGAATTAGAGCAAATTTACAAAGCACGGGGAGAGACAAGAGCAGAGTGCACTGTGGTCCATCTCGAGGTGGTAGATAACTAGTTTTTTCTTTTCTGAGCAGCCTTTCTCTTCTTCTGTCGCTTCTTTTTTCCTATCTTTTCTTTTTTCCCCACTTTTTCTTCTCTGCGCCCCCTTCGATAAAATTAGTAGAATCATTAATAATGAAGAAATAAACAAGAGTCTGTCTCAGTCTGCACAATATTTAACACTGGCCTGTGTTTCAGTTTCACTCTGTCTTCAGTCCCAGGCCTGGAGGCCCCTGGGCAAAACACTGTCCATCAGTATTTTATTAAAATAAGTTAGATATTTGCCCTGATTAAAAAAAAATGTTATACGGGCTTCCACAAAACCTGGTATCAGCAATCTCCAATTTGCTAAGTTGACCCTGGCTCTAGCTATTGCCTGAGGCTTCCAGGGGGGAAAGGAATTCACATCTAAAAGGGTGTGAAGGCAGCCAGGGCCAGGCTGGACATGGTCCTCTATCTCACCCCAACCTGCTTTCCAGGGCTTTCTTCTTTCTCAATATAGAGCTGAACTCTCTGGCTTTATCTAAAAAATCTCTGCATTGCAAATCAAAGGAGACTGGAGGCTTAGGTTCAGGAGGCCATCTAGGAGAGGAGAAAGAAGGTGGCCCCACACCACCTCTCCTTTCTGGATGCCTGTGCACACCTGCTGGGAATGACTGGGATTGTTCTGGAGAGCGAGGGAGAGAGCTGGTTAGCAGAATTTTATTAGAGCAACTGGCTCATGACCATCACATTAAAATGATTCAGGCTGAATGGTATTTAATGATTTATGGAATAAGACTACCTGTTCCAGAGAAAGCTAGATATTAACCATGGGCTGGAATCATGGGATTTTTACATGGGAAAATGTGAGAGCTGGATATTACAAGGGTTGAGTCTCTAGAGATTACATGGGGATGTTAGGAGAACGAGGAGAAAGAATGGGAGAGGAATTAGTGAGTCGAGTATTATTCTTCAGAAAACTAGCACTGCTGCTTCCACTGGGTTTAAAAAAAAAAAAAAGAGAGAGAGATGCAAAAACTTGAGGGATCTAAAGCGCCTAACCAGTAGGCTAGCTTATTTTCACAAAACTGGGAAACGTTTAAGAGTTCCGCGTCTAGCAACTAATGGAGTTTATTTCAGGTAAATAAATTCCCACATACAGTAGGATGTTTATACCATAATACAATTAGCATTTATTGCTAGTGCATATAATGTCACATTTGATACAATTTTAGTACAAGTGAAAAAATACACTGTGGCTAACATTAAAAGCTGTAATGTAATCACATTTCTGTCATATGTATTTCTTTACAAACTGCCAGTAGTTTAAGATAATAGAAAAATGTAACCTACTGACATCCATATGGCTCCATTTCAAATGTATGAATTGTTCAACTATAAATATATTCTGAAATACATTTGTTTTCTAAAGAAATGTTTAAAAATCGTGCACAAAAATATATTAAAAAAATGCCTTGCAAAAAGTTACAAATAGCACCAGGCCCATCTGTGGATCACATTTATGCATGGAAATTTCATTGTGCCAACATTTCTGATTGCAACCTGAAACCCTGCGGTAGCTTCAGGAGCATGGGTTAGTGGCAAGAGGCTTGTTTTTTCATTTATTTTTTCACCTCAGACTTCAGAAACCTTGGTATTTGTACAGCCTTCATGGCACACACAGGCTTCAGGGACAATCACAGAAACCAAATCCTCAAAGCAAGCTCTCTGATTGAAAACTGCATTTGAATCTGCAAAGACTTGTCGTTCATGGGAAGGCAAAGACATGGTCTCCCATGCCCCAAGAGAAGGCCAGTCTCATTCTGGAGGAGCAGAGCAGATACTCACAGAGGGCCTGAGCAGGAGGGAGGGCAAAGGGAGGAGGGAGCTGCAGGGCAGGAGCCCAGTGACCATCCTCCTCCCTTGAGTGCATACAGAAATGAGAAGCAGAAGCAAGATTAAAGCATGCTCTTGGAGGCAGGGAGAGGCTAAGAATGTTTGATAGGTCTCTGAGCACAGCCCCCAGTGGCAGTGGCTTCTACATGGAGCTCACAGGTACGTTCACTGAGCTTGAAAGAGAAGATGCAGGTGGTGGCTAGCATAGTTGGTATCTGAAAGCCACCTTGAGCCTTCATTTCAGGAAGGGTGTAACCTGCGGGAGCTGCCCATAATCTTCCTCCATGCCTTAGCGTCTGGAGGAGGGACACTTTTTTGAGCTCCATGCTTGGCTATCACCTGACTGTGCTCAGACTCCCCAGGGGAGAAGAGGTAAAACTTTAAAACAAACCAAATACAAATCTTGAAGTAATCACTGATTAAAAAAAATAATAATAATGAGAATGATGATGATTGTGATGATCATGAGGGAAGTGACTGGAGAGAAATGCTGTTTAGATAATACAATTTCTTAGAAAAACCCCAGTTATAAAATAGTCAATGTGCAAGGGTCCGGGGTGCAAATGAATATAAGCTGTGATATCGTACCATATGCCATAAATGCAATTGTGTATATGCTGGGCAAACCTCTTGCCCATTCCCAGGTCAATGCACTGCCCCATAGGCATACCTGGCCCTCATCATTCAGGCCTTCCTCCTCCCTGCACCTTTGCCTTTTCACCTTTCATACAGTTTTAGCTTTCCTCCAGTAGCTCTAGTGGAAAGTCCTTTTTGGCTGTTGTGCTTACTTGTTTAAAGCTTTCTCCAGATATTCCTGAATCCACTTCAATTTTGGGTCAATGCACACTTGTCTGTTGTTATTCTTCAGCCTTGCCCTGCCAAAACAGAAGAAGAGACAATGTGCAGCTAAATAGGAGAAGGCACTGCTGTGAACTGTGCTGTGCATTTGTTCATCCGACACTCATGTCAGAACCTTTACTGGAGCCAAGTACCTGCTTGGCAGGCTCAGGTTCATGAGGAACTAAAGTGCACTAGTGAAACACAATGCTAGCAGTGTGGCAAGTTTTACAGCAGAGATACAGGAAGTGGAAAGGTCTTTAGGGGGCATACCACAAAGAATTCCCATAGCGATCATTTGAGCTGGACAGTGAAGAATAAGTAGGAGCTGGGCAAATGAAGTATGGCAGGGTGGGGGCAAAGCAAGAGCAAATACACCAGAGGGTAACAGCACACAGAGAGTGTGAAGGAAGAGTGGGAGACAGGATGCTCAAGAAGCCTGTAGACAGATGTGAGGGGCAAAGAAGTGGGACTTTACATGCATGATTATGGGAACTTGTGAGAATTTTAAACTGGAGAGTAACAGAGGCAGGTATTTATTTCGATGGACCATCTTAATAGTACATGGGAGACAGAATTAAGAGTAAGCCTGGAAGCAGGAAATCTGCAAAGAGGAACTGAAATAATCTAGGGGATGGGGAGAGGTGAGAGTGTAATGAGGGGAGGGCCAGTGCAGGTTAGGGGAGAGGTAGTGTAGATGCTTTGCCAGAAAATGGTTTTCAGAGAGAGATTTTACAAGTTTACTGAATGTTTCATCATTTCAATTGTTTTTCAAAAGTTCATACCACATCTTCCTCTCCCTTCTCAAGTCCATTCACAGCCTCTCTGCCTAGAAACTCCTGGAGAAAGACCTGGACTTATCTTTGGATCCCTGTCCTTAAACCCCTGGGTACGAGGTAATCTCAAGTAACTTGAGAACACTCCTGGCCAGCCACTCACAGGTCTATGAGGACAACTAAGGCCAGCACCGTGGCTCTGGGACACCCAGAGGAGTCTTCGCATAGCCTGCCTATTAAGTGAATGAGGTGTGTAGAGGGTTGTAGCTTGAAGCAAGGTGGACGGAAGTAAGTTCAAATCTGAGTACTACTGTTTATTGACTTTGTGTCTGCCCGGAGCTGAAAATTATAAAGTGCATTCCTAGGCAAGTGAATCAGCATAATCTGTACTGTAAAGCAGGCCAATGCTGTTAAATTCAATATCTGATAAAATATCATATCCCTCAAAGGACAGATAGTATTTTATTACAAGCAAAGTAAGTGAAAATACATTAATATTCTAATGCTCCGAAAAATTTGTAAATGACAAATCCATCAAGGCAGCAAAGGCTAGAAAGAAAAAAAATTGAACCTAAAAGTTCGTGTTGGGTAAAAAAGTCTTTAGGAAGTTGCAGCTTCCATTCTAACTGCTGTGTCCCCAACTGTTTTTAGTACTGGGACTTTTCAGGAGGTGAGATCTCACCCAGGAGATGCCTAGCATCACCTCCCTGGCATCTAGACACACTAGGATGCTTACTGTGTGCAAGTATTGGTACATAGGAGCATTGGAGTGCCAAGCAATGGATAGTCAAGTGTGGCTTTCTTGCACACCTTGCCCAGCCACCTGCACCAAAGCCCACAGATCTCTGTGTTTTATGCATGTGTGATTTTGGTTTGTCTCATTTCCTACAGGAATTAAATCAAATGTTAGCATTAGCAAAACCAAAAACAGATATGTTGTGTTTGAGAAAATGTAGTTAAGTGAGCTGATAATTTTGAGTTTTACCAAATGGTTAAAGATGACTTCAACTAAATTTGGGTTTTGTGAATTTGTGCTATGTAAGAAAGAATTAATTTAGAGTACTAACGCCCTGAAACTGGCAGGACTGGCTAATTACTGAACTTGAACACAAACTTTGATGAGGCCCATGTTTCTCCAGTCTGGAGATGCGTCCGAATATGCTGTTATTTCCTGTGCTGAAGGAAGTAAGCTTGGAAAGAAGGGACAAGGACTACAATGAGCATAGCAAGGCACCACAAGGGTCAGAATGGATTTGGAAACTACTGCCTGGTGGTGTACTCAAATCTGCGCAGTATAACAACTGTCTCTAATTTTGCCAAGTTCAAGGCTGGAGACTTGGCATGTGTCTCTAGCTTTACCAAGTCTGCCAGTTAGATGTTACTGCACCCATTACATGTAATATTCCTGAGGGATGATGCTCCAACTTACACAATCTGAAGGGCACAGTTTGGAGTGTTGAGGATTTTGAGATGCTTGATGTTGGCCCTGGCAACGTGGCTCTCGAAGAATCGGCAAGGACATCTGTAGCTCAGGCTGACCGGTTTTCCTGGAAGTGGTAATGAGAACAAAGCAACTTGTTATTATCTTGCCAGTCCTCGCAGATACACATGTATCTGGGTCTGCAGCTGGGGGAGAAGATGGTGGAATGACGGCCGGATGGAGAGCAGTGGGATGAGTCACAGTGCGTCCTGGCAAAGACTTTCTCCTTGGGTAGCACGGTGAGATCTGGTAGTCTCAGGCTCAACTTTGACAGGGCAAGAGGCCAAAAATACCTGTAGAGTGTGGGACCCTAGGAAGGAGAGTGGGGAAATTAAAATAAGAAGCCTTCGTCAGGTGTCTTAACATCTATGATGTTAATCATAGATAAGAACTGTTTCAGTCTAAGGAACTGAGGTTCCCAGTTATTCTTTGCAAAATTAACTCCTCCAGGGCCAACTGAGGAAGTCTTTCCTACACAGAGAGGAGGAATACAGAGGCTCCAGGTTCTCCTTCCTCTTCTAGTGTAGGCATCATCCAGGACACCATCACAGCTCGCCTGAGAATGCTGCCCTCCCCCACCTGCAATCTTCTTGCCTCATATTTACCTTAAGCCCAGGCAACCACAAAAGAATCCAGGCCGGCTTCCTACCTGGGAGTCCCCAGAAGGCAGGCCAAGGGCCCACTCT